AGAGAGAGAGAGAGAGAGAGAGAGAGAGAGAGAGAGAGAGAGAGAGAGAGAGAGAGAGAGACGAGTTTTATAAAGATAGATGTTTGACTGAAATAGTTTTTTTAAAGGGTGGATGTTTACATATGTGTTGTGTACCTGTTTATTTTTTCTTTAAAAAAATTTGACCGCTTTGAATTAAGATATTTTTAAATCTAATTATTGTAATAAATCAATATTTTTGGAAACATTTTACTCATTGACTTCATCATGAATAATCACAGCTTTAGTTTTGAAGCAGTCATTTACAGTAGAGGCTTGACCCTTTCCTCATTTATTTATGTTTTCCTTCCAAGCAGACATACTTATTGGGAAAATTTTGAAATGGGTTTTGAATAGAATATTTTGGTGTTGTTAACATCAGCCTATCACAAAGACCCAATTTATTCCCATTTCTTTAGTTAGTCTAGCTCCTTTGACAGTAAAAAAAAAAGACATTTTATCACCTAGAAAGAGCAATCAGCTCAAAACTTGCATGTGATCAGCTGATGGATGTGTGAGCTAAAGCTACACTAACACTGACATTTTAATTTAAATAAATCCAAAGATATTTGAGAACATCGGGTTTTTAAAAAACAACCACTGCTGCCTGCAGTATTGCTCCTCTAGTTGTCTAATAAAAACAGGACATAAAAATGAGAAAAATTTAGGAAAATAACTCAACCAAATTTGAATTTTGGATTTCTGTGCAGAGTTTGCCTATTCTCCACATGCTTGTGTGGGTTTTCTCCAGGTATTCTGGTTTCCCCCACAGACAAAAAAAAAACCTTCAGATAAATAAATAAATAAATAAATAACCTTTAAAAAATGTTATTTATGAAAAGTGCATTCAGAGGTATTTTTGCTTTGGGAATTAAACCAATTCCCCCAAATCTCTAGCAGATAAAAGTACAGATGTGTTCAACTCTGTTAACATATTTTGTCAAAGTGAAGAAGTTGAATGGGTCTGTGTGCATGTGTGGCGAGGGGAGTATTAAACTCAATGTCAGCAAGTTGGGGGCACATTCCTCAGTTGATTTAGTAGGCATTAAGATGWAGAAGAATGTGTCAAAGCTGTGGAGGCTTTGGTCCACTGGTGTAAACTGGCTGAAAGAAGCTCTGAGGCTTTCTGAGAGCCCAAAATGACAGATGACTGACAGCTGGCTTATTGTGAAAAGGATAGAGACTTGGCAAAGGTGGAGGTGGTCAGATGGATGGGAGGGAGGCTGGGACTGAGAGGTGGTCTGCCTGTAGGTAAAAATATGAAAAGTGTACTTTAACAAGAAGAAAAGAGAGATAAGTAGAGATAAAATGTTTAGATTAGGTGATAGTGTCGCCCAAAGGACATTAGCTGAGATAAAGAAAAGAAGAACTCGGTCTGGTCAGGAAAGGAGGAGAAGGTGCCAAAAGTTGGGAGAAACACAGGAAAAAATGTGAAAACGTCAGCCACAATAAAATAAAAAATAAGTCATCAACAAAAAATAACAACGTGAATCAAGCTTGTCTTTATTTGCCCAATATGGTTTTGTAGGTGAAAGAAAAAGATACACAGAAAGAGAAAATTCAGAAAGAATCTTTTTTCTTAAGGTCTTATTTATACATCAGTTGCTTGGTCAGTTGTGCAGTTTTTACAGAGTGTTGTAAATGAAACCAAAGCAGAAATATATTTAACTCTTTCTTATTTAGAACATATAAGTAATGTGTTAAAAAAAAACTAAATTAGGCACGATGCAACAAACTTTTAAGTGATACAAACACTTTCCTCCAGCACTGCATTGAACAAAATCTGTTTTAAAAAGCATCAGATGTGGATGGGATTGAGATGAGGAGTTATTCAGTCCTGAGACAGTGAAAGTGGACACAATGAAGCAGTGAGATACTACTACTGGGCCTTTAGAGTACTGAGACTGCTTCAGGGAGAAGAAAAAAATTCTACTGAAACAAACAAACTATCATTTAGTTTGGGTGGCACAAACAAAACAAAGATTTTACAGGATTTTACAGTTTTTCTGTCAAGTAATCTATGATGGCTAAAATCAATAACAAAGTGATCGTACCAGTAAGTATTTTCTGTGCAGCTGAAGTCCTCCTTCCTCTTACGAAAACGTATCATATTTAGATGCAAAGACAAAAAAACAGCTCACATTTTCAAAGTATTAAGCAGCACAGAGACCCAGAAGTTTTGAGGAGTTTCATTGTGGAAAAAATGGCAAAGTAAAACAGCAATTTTTATAAAGTTTGATATGTTCCTCAGGATGTGGACCAGCTGCCTTATAGGAACTACATAGGCTGAAATTAATATATTAATTAGTCCATGGAGGTGGGCTTCATATATTTTCAGAAACTCAGTGGAATGTTATGTGTCAGTTTTTGGCAACATTGTAGCCTAAAGGAACAAAAACGATTCATCATGCTTTGGATGAAATGACAACAGAAGCTTCAAGATGCTTTCCTACCTTTCATGTGATTTGTTCGAAATGTAAAAAAAAATATTTGCAAAGTTAGCATTTAACGCAACATACAACTGATATCAGCAGTAAAAGCGCTTTTAAAAAGAAGAAAAAAGAAGCTACGACCAAGGAATTTTTTTTACATTTCTAGCACTACAGTACATTTTAGAGAACAGAGATCTGTGTAGTGCGTATTTTGTTCTAGAAATGATGACACACACAGTAAGATGTAAAAAATAAAGGCAAACAAGGAAATGTTAACTCACTTCTTCACGCTGTAAGTAAAGATTACTTTGCTTCCTCCACATTTCCACCCCTCATYAATAARTTCAAAGTGCAAACACTATTTTGTGCCAGCCTTGCATGCATCATGTACAGCCAACACACTGTATGCATGATTTGTTTATATTACATCATGAATTTTCCTCCTGATTTTACACCCCTGCATTGTTGTGTTTGACATAAAGCTGCGTGACAGAACAGATCAAGTCAAAGTGCACAAAGTTTTAAAAAAAACGTGCAAAACAGAGAAAATATTAGCCTTGTGAAAGTAATGTTTGATCTAAAATCTTTACCCTGCCTCCTCCTCACAACCCCACTTGCCACCCTCTCAATAAAATGTTGATGCTGATGTTGCACACTGCTGCTGGTGTGGGGAACTCTCACACGGTGAGGGAGATGAAGCTGTTGTATCTCTGGATGTTCCTCTTCAGGATCTCTGAGCAAGGCCCAAGCACGCGCTCAAAGCGAGGCCTGTCCAGCTTCACACATTTGAGGGGGCCACGAGCGACAACGGTGGCTGCCCTGGGACGATTCAACAACAGGGCGATCTCACCTGAACAGATACGAGGAAAGAGCCGGAAGAATAAAGGTCAGTAAATGCAATAAAACTCTGTGCAAAATCTTACTAGTCAAACTTGATAAAAAGCGCATACCAAAGTAGTCAGAGGGTCCAAGACGTCCCACCTCCACATATTCCTCATTATCAGACCTGCGCTGCAGAACAGAGGCTATTCCCTGCACACAGAAACAAACAAACAAAAAATGGTTGAAACAAATAAAGGAGACAAGGGATGCAAAGGAGAAAAAGCTGAATGAGAAGAAGAGGGATAAAAAAGGAGATTTTGTGTAAGTGTGTGTGTGTGTGGGGGATACAACAAGACACTGAAAATTATCAGGAGGAATAAGCTGAGAAGAAATTCCTTTGCTTCACAAAAACACAGGTGCACAGGATTTAGTCCACTTTGTGTGGGACGGACACCTGTTGAGCAGGACGTACATGAGCAGAAACACATTTATTTATTCCAAGCGTGTGTGTGTGTGTGTGTGTGTGAGAGAGAGAGAGAGAGAGAGAGAGAGAGAGAGAGAGAGAGAGAGAGAGAGAGAGAGAGAGACATCGATTATCTCTGCTTTAATTTTTCCAGAGTGTAATACACATCTAAGCCCATTAGAGACAAAACTGAAAGTGCCTCCGTCACATAATCCCTTAAAGCTGAATTCATCCAGAAAATGGAAACAACTGTATTGTCCAGGAAAGAGGGTATCCAGTCCCTAAATGAACCCTGAAAATCTTTGTGTTCGCAAAACAACGCCTGATCTAATAACAGGAAGCTGATTAAATGCGATAACTGAAACTACTTGTACAAATTTGGGGCAGAACCCCAACAGCTGATATCTTCTAGAGAGCAACAGGACTCAGCCAGTCTTCATATAAAGCCATCATGTATCGATTGTTGTTGCAGGGATGTCTGCGTGTGTGAGTCATAAAAGGAAGGAGTAAAGATTTCCATCTACTCTTCCACGACAATACTTTATGCTGTCAAGTGTTGCAGCTGTTGACAAACTTCACGTGTGTGAAAGAAGAAGATTGAAGATTTATCTTCTGCATAACTTAACACATGATTGAACCTGCACTTAATATTTGGCCTGCACATTCACTGCTGATTTTCAGACATTTACATGAACTCTAGAGCTGCTATAATTTGATAGCAGCTTAAATAAAGGATCTGAAGGGGAGGTTCCCAGCTTGTCTTGGACTGTTTCATAAAACAGACTTGACTGTTTTAGAAATACCTCAGCATTTCTAAACCTTTTTTACTTTTCCCTGCTCCCTGTACTGACCAGGCTAATATTGCTAAATATGAATATAATGAGGCTTAATGAGAAGCCAAAAAGTGCCAGCTACTTGATGCAGACAGACAAAGGTGAGACTGTGTTTCAGTGAAAGGATATGTGTGACTCACTGAGTTTATGCTTGAAATGAGCTGTGGAGAAAAGGGGGCTCCTATTCAAGTAATTCTTTCCAAGTAATACCTGGATAAACTGCGCTGTGATGCAATTATCACATCAACATGACACAGCAAAGTAGATTCAGCTCTGGAGTGGGGGGTCTGTTGAATGCTTTAAAATGGAGCAATTATATTGGAGGCAACTATTACTGCGGGGTGTCGTTATGAAAGCATTTTAGTTTTATATAGTTCAGGAGTCATGTACAACATTTACTTGAGCGTAATAACTTTTTTTTAATCAGAGTGGAGACCAGCCTTGATTAGTCATCTTGTTGGTAATTATGGCTGCACTGTTTTACTTATTTCAGTTTTGGTTGTCATAAATGAGTTAAAGCCTGAGGGACTCCAGCAGACCCATCAGCAGTTTTCATTTGCTACTGTGTGCAGTGTTAAAGCTGGACTGAACTGATTACTGTGTTTGATTGCATTTGATTTAATAATGATTCTTTATTTTATTCAAATAAAATGAGCTCATGAGACCTATTTTGCCAAAGGGCCAACAGCAATTTGTAGTGCGGTTAGGGTGATTAGTGTGAGGTAGTGATTTATTGTTTCTCCTTGTGAATTATAAAATCTTTTATAAAACATTGTAAAACCTGGACCGGATCATAAAAAGCAAAGTATGATGGATAAACACAGGGTCTCAGGAGGTGATAAGTATGATTTTGTTTCATGAATATAAATTTAGGAGAGAACACTACACGAGTTGAGCAGTGATGGTGCTTTTCTCAATAAATAAAAATCGGAAGTAGATGTATCCAAAGGTGATTCCCAAAGTCCCATAACATTGTATTTGTCAAACAACCTAAAAGATGACATTAACATAAATCTCCTGACAATCTGTTCTGGTTTTTTGGTTTTGGTGCCACCCAAGGATTGTTTAGTGGCCCCTACAATTCTCCCCTTTAAAGACATAGAAGAGCCACTGAAAAATGGACTTATTTCAGTTTTAAGACTTTATCTACAGAACTGGCAAGCCTTACAAGTGCTGTTTATAATTTGAGACCACACAGTAAGTTACCTGTTTTAATAAATCTTGGACAAAGTCTATTTCTAATCTACATTGTTACATTTTCTTATTGTCTTTAAACTGACCCTGCCAGCTCCAACAAGCATGTTTTATGAAATATTTGATCAAAATTTTTAGCTTAGCAGTTTGAAGACAAAAAGCAAACAAATTAAAAAGACATACGAATGGGAAGCAACAAAAGGTGGATGAAGAACTGCAAGTTCTGTGTTTACAACCAGTAGAACACCCTTCTTTTCATTCATGTCCAAACAAAACGAGTGAGACAGTGCAGCACTCGCAACAGAAGTTGTTCATTTGTGCACAGACCTCATCCAGTGTGGTCCAGATAACCATCTCATACTGTACCACCTTAGGGGGAGTGTTTTGCTCCACAGATATTTCTTCTGTAAACACTAAAGAGCTTCCCCTGCCCAACAAAGCATGTAGTGGTCTGCTAACAACAAAAGGCAGCAGATGAGGTCAGGCAGGAAAGGAAAAACAAACAAAGAACATGAATGAATGAATGAAAATCAAACGGTAGGGAGACAAAGAATAATAAATATGTACAATTAAAGAAACCGCGTCTATTCATCTGTCCCTCAACAGGCACTTTATCAGAAGCCACAGTCCTAAAAGTGCACATTCACCTGCATCAATGCTTAAACAAATATACCATTCATYGAGTGTAATGCATCAGAAAAATGTAACATCTTTCACGTACAACATTCACTACTCGGAGACACAGAGAGAGGCGACGAGGCAGAGATGGAGAAAGGTGATATCCTGAATAGCCTGTTCCTGGGGCCACCCAGCTCCAGCAGTGTCTGCACCGCTTCACTCAAACACGACACACTTACCAAGCACTGCTGCACTTGCAGCAAATTTTATTTTCCTACATCGTGAATGAGGGCCACCTTAAAACAAACTAGAAAATGGCTAAAAATAATTAGGACCTGTACTTTTTCTTGCAAGTGCATTTTATTTTCTTTAGATTTATTAACACCACTGATGACGGCGATCCTGAACACCATTAGCTAAATTGCATGCCTCATTTATTACAGACAAACAGATAGTTCACAGAGGGTATCACTTCTTTTTGACCCAAAGGGACCTTTCAAAACCTGTCTGTATGATTACTTTTGTGGGAGGTCAAAGACAGATGTGAAATAATTTGTGAAACACTGTTTGATGGCTGGAAAAGGTTGTAGTGAATATTTGAGCAACATCCATCACCTGATTTTACAAACCTTTCATTCAGAGTATCTATATGATATACTATATCTATATGACAGAACTTAGATTGAACAGTTTGTGGAAGTCAGAATATTTGTGTGAAAACACAATKAGTGTTTATTTAGGAAAAATGAGACAAAATGAACAGCTGCCTCAAGCTAATGTGAAAAAGTTGGAACTACTGCAAAGGTTTTGTTTGAGTTGGCAAAAATACTCTCTTGAATGGACGCTGTTCTAAACAGAGATTAGTTTGATTCATTATGAGAATTTCTCTCAGACACAACCTAACTTTAAAAAAATATCCCTTTAAAAGGAAACTTCAGACCTATTCAAGAAATTTTGGTTAATATTTGAGAGGTGACAACAAATTACAACTCTCCATKTTAAACATAAAGCATGTTTCATAAATCTAACTGATATCTGTTTTACAGTTTTTTCTGCAAGGTTTTAATTTCTACCTAAGCTTTTTATTTCATTTCAAAGCAAAAATCACATGTCTTTAATGGCCTAGAGGGAAAACAAGTGTTCATGTTGAGTAAGGTTATAAGCCACGGGGAGAAAAGAAAGCAAAAGCAGAAGGAGCTGATTTTAAGGAAGGTGAGACCAAGTCCTCGTGGCCGCAGAGCCTAAGCTTGTTTGTACAGTGTGAYAATAAAATGTAAATATGTCACTTTTCATTAAAGCCCCATTCCTCTGGCTAGGCATAGAAAGTGATGTCTCTATACCTTCTTTTTGTTCATRTTCCCCATAAGCAGCATATAGTTGTTGATTGTTCGTGTTTGTCCACTAACAGCAGAAAAAAGCAAAACCAATAGTTAGTAGAAACAGATTAAAATGAAAACTGGAAAAGAGAGAGTAACCAAAATAGTAGCAATTGACATTTCAGTTTTATGTGCAATYATAGAAGGAGAGAAAGCAAAATAAATTTATGAAGACAAATTAGAAGAGGAGGAGATCATAAGTGAGCAGGGGTCTAATCTAGKAATTACTCACACTTTCAAAAATCATTTTCTTGCTCTTTACTTTGCGGTCTTCCTCTCTACCCACACGTCCCTGCCCTCTTTGACTCATCTCTCTCTTTTCCTGTCTGTCTCTCCCGTCTCCCTCCCGGGAGGCTGGGGCTCCTGACCCCGTGTGAAAGTCAGCAACACACATTCCACCCCAGTCCACTCCGCTCTGGGAAAGTCAGTCTGCATGAGACACGAGATTGAAGAAAGGACTGAACTGCTGCTGGGTGCAGTGCAGTAGGTGGTAAAATAACGGAAATGTGCAGTAATAAAACACTGATAAAAAAAAAGAAACTTGGCTGAACGTTGTTGTTGTTTTTATTAAAGATAAATATGTATGCTAGTCTAGTCTGAAAGCTGTGTTCTGTGATATGCACACGTAGAAAAAGATAACATTCAAAGACCTAAACCACAAATAAAAATGTGTTGGCTGCCTACATCGACTAAAATCTGMTCTTTTTAACTTTATTCTGTTATTCAATTTTTCCATTTTTTTCTTTTTTCTTGAACGTACCGACCCTAAGATTGATGAGTCATGCATTGTTTATTGCATTTTTGTTGTCTTTTTTCTTTTTCTACTAAGTTAAACTGGCTTTTAAAACTTTACTGCTGCTTAATTTGTAAGCTTCAAACACAACTAATTGAAGGAAGAAAAAAGGTTTTAGTAAAATATATGCAGTMCAGAAAAGTTTTTATCAGGGTCTTCTATTATGACTACAATGTTAAAAGTGGTGTCCTTCAAGAGGAACTTCTACTGCTTTGAGATAAAATATAAAACATTTTTTAGGAGCAAAATGCATCTAAAAGTATGTGGAAAGTTCAATGAAAATAAAACACACTTTTGTTAAAAAAACCTAGTTTAAAGCGCTGTTTTGCTTATTCTTCTGTAATATAACTCTCATGGAGATTGATGTAAATAAAACCTACACACGGCATTTCAGTTTATAATTGTGTAAATGCTTCTTGTGGTCAAACTTTTTTATGGTTCATTTTTAACCAAGTTAACAAGAAAAGAAATTTATTAAGTTCATGTTGCCCCTTGACAACCTGTCTAACTCCCCTGTGCTGCTCTTCAACCATCCTCTGTATTTTTTTATGTTTTGTCTCCAGTTTGACTTCTGGCAGGCAATAAACATGCTAAAACAAACTGGTTGGGAGGCATGAAGAAACTGGCTATAAGTGTTAATTAACTGAGCTAAAAGTCTTTAACTTTAACTTAATGTCAGTTGTTGAAGCTTTAATAGAGTAGAATGGATCAGAGCCAAAGACAAACACAATGTGTCAATGTGCTTGGAAGAATAAATGTTTAAATTACATTTGAAAAAAGACGCAGCTTTGAAAGTAGAAAGATGGATGAAAAAGTATGGAAAAGAAATACCAAGTGTTTTGCTCAGCTGAGGAGAGAAAAATAAAGGTAAAAACAGATGCATCATTCAACATATTTATTAAAACTGGCGCTGTAGATGACATGCTGTTTTCAGGAACTACTGGTGGACACAGAAGAACAGACAAAATAATTTACACAGGAAGTGATAATGTAAAAAAGAGAAGAAAGGAAAAAGCAAAGAACAAAAAAGCAGCAGATTGTGCCCCCGCTGCCTCCAGATCGATTCCTGTTGACTTGACCCTGGTGAGAGCTGTAAAAGTATGGAGTTAATCAAAAGTGTGTTAGGATGACAAGCAGGGGGCCCTTCAAGAAGCTGTGCCAGGGGCCTCAGTTTCACAAAGCCTGCAGTGTAAGAAGAGGGGGGCTATTCTTTGCACGGGAATCATGGTTGAGGGCAGGAGAAAACTAGTAGGTAGTCTGTCCACTGGTGGCAATAAACTGGGATCAGTTCCMATGTCAGCGGAGCCCACCAACGTTTGTACACGATGACATGTATGAACATTAACCCGAGCTAACCTGATGACACGTAGGAGGTCTGAGGTCTCATATGTCAACGCTTTCGACTTACAGGAAACGTGACAATTAGGTAAAATTAGCTCACACACTGCAGTGACATGACAGACGATACCTCTGTAATAATGAAGAAGTCATCACCAGGCTRCCCTTGCACCACAATCTTCTCTCCATCCTCAAACTGAACAGGCTCCAGAGCATCAGCCACGGTCAGACGCTCCCACTTATCCAAAGACTCTGTAAATAAATAACAAATACAAATCACTACAAAGTTGGTTGTTTACAATGAACAGTGCAGACTTTAACTTGTTTARGTTTTGTGATCACAAAGGTTGCTTTATGTCTCCGCAGCAGGCTGGTGAGATAAAAACCATCTCAGGCTAATCCAGTCATTCATCGAGAATCATTACATCTCAGATCCTTTAGCTACTCCCTCATTTCATGAAGGCTCACAGAGTTTAAACACCTTAACACCGAGTCCTAAATCTGTCCTGATGACTGCTGGTTGTGCTGACAGAGATATGGTTTATCTCTAAGACAGTTGGATATCATTTACTCAGAATAAACTACAGCAGGCAAGCTAAGATAAATATGATTGACTTCAGTCTAAAGAAGTATGTAGATTTAATAAAAGTGTCATTTGTTCAGCTGATGTTACAACCAGTGGTTTAGTAATAATATCTTGATAAAATCAAATTTGTAGTATAAAACTAAATCTAATATTCAACTAAATGTACAGTAACTACATTATAAATTACATATAATAAGCTGGAGTGTAATTCTACTAAAACCTGTGATAGTATCTTTTAGTGATCTCCAGAACCTTTCAACTATCCAACCACAGTGAAGCTGTTAGTTCGAGATGTTTCAAGAATTTGTTGGTATTTTCACAGAAAACCAAAACCGACAGTTATATATATCTCAAAAAAAAAAGCTAAAGTTTCAAGCAACTGAATACTGATAGAATCTACTAATAACTGAGCATCTCTACACAGATGTTTCACTAAGTGAGCTCATCAGTCTTTCACACATCAGCAGATTATTAAAGCCTAATCTTACCAGTGTACACATCTGCGCGTGGAATGTGACTTATCTGCAGTGAAAACACTCCTCATCCTCAGCTTAGTCTACATAAAAAGATGATTCATTGTTTTTATTTGAGTAAGATGTGAGTTAGAGGCGTAAAACTGCAGCAGGATCTCTTTGTCTGAACCCATTGTCTCCTGATGTGGAGTAACTGATCCTTTTGTGTGTATTTATGTGTGCGTATCACTGTGTATGTACTTAGGATTAACTAAGGTAGGTCTGGTGGTTTGGAGGTGTCCAGTGTCTTCTCTGGTGGGGCCACGGTGTCTGCCGGACCCAGATGGATGTCTTCTGTCTGGCTGCAAGCTAAAGGCAGCAGGTCTCATTGAGTTGATCCCTAACGGCAAGGCATGTAACGTGATACACAAGTGTCTTGACTAAAGAACATACATTTCACACTTCATGAAGCCTGGACACACTTGGATCACTTTGTTGCTTAAATACATCGTAAACATCAAGAGAACTGACCGCTGAGATGTTGAGGCCTGCAAACGTTTGTGAGTGACAAACATTTGTTTTTGTTTTTTTGTTTTTTAAACTTCACACCACGACATCAAGGGGCTTGAACCCAATTTTGCGGCTATCTGCAGAATCAAAGACAAACAAAAACACCGCTGCCCCCTGCACCTCCTCCAATTCAAAGACTCTGAGAAGAGCGAAAACTTGACATAACGAGGAATCAAGAGCGGTAAAGCGCTTCGTTGAGGGAGGCGGATGCTTCAACACAGGCCTCAACAAGGCCTTCAGAAAGCGAGCCGCGGAAGAAAGGGGGTGAGTGAAAAGAGAGTGAACTTCAGAGGGACATTCTCCTAAGACCTGAATTGAGTGTATGTGTTTACTCACCCAGCTAATAACTCTGTACAGAGGGCATGGCCTCACTCTATACACCATGCACCACACACACACACACACACACATGAGCAAGTGGAAAAGGATGAAACGTCAGTTCCAATTGCAGCTCAGTTTTGAAAGTCTGAATGAATCTCATTCGCCATTCGTCTAAATCCAGTGGCCTGTGAAGGCTGGTGTTATCCAAATTCCAGTGGGAAAGAGGGGTTTAGCTTAGCTCCCTATACCTTAATTGTCCACATAGAGATTGCAGAGTGTGACCGGCTTTAGGTATGAACAGTGTAAGTAGATTAAAACTGTAAACACAGACTTTACTCAGCTATGGGTCTCGTGTGACAACCTGTGCCTGTGTTTATGTCGACTAATCTACAGTATACACTGATTTAACTGCCTGCACTCTGAACTCTGACCCTTTACAGATCATACACTTATTCTTCAGCATGTTCATAAATGTAGGGAAAAAAATCCAAAAATAAACCACAGTCAGTGGATGTTGCACACGCTTACCGAGGATGGAGACCTTGCTGAGGAACTCTTCATACATCTTTCTCTTTCTCAGTGTACTACCCTGCAAAACAATAATAAACATCATATGGTGGAAATGCATTTCCATGGAAATAAATAGCTATTATGCAAAACACTACAATTGTACTCATTGTTGGAATGCCAAGGCGTAAAACTGATTTATTGTGCATCGTTTTTCTCTCCTTTCATTTTTGTCGCTAAACAATTAACAAAAGTAACAGTCAGCAAAATGCTTGCAGTGATTCTCATCCATAAATATTTAAATAGTTACTCGTTTCTGCGTCTTGCAAGACAAGTGCTTGCTTTTGAACAAAGAAATAGTTATACAGCTATAAAAGTTTCATATTTACAAACACCTGCTTAAAAACTACTCTTCATTTTTATATATCTAAAKTACACATGTTGCTTTTCAGTAATCAGTTATTGTCTTTGATATAAGCAACTTATTTACCACAATTTATCTTTAGGGCTAACTTCAATTGTGTCATGTATTCGCTACCAAATACAAATAAAACAAAGCTTTGATACAAGATTATTCATGGTTAACAGATCATAGTTCACGAGGTCATGCTTCTGGAGGTATGTATGAGATATGTAGTAATGTTTATTGCATGTGTGTGTGTCTGTGTGTGTGGCCCACCCCACCCAGCAGGCAGGGGACTTTCCCCTCTCTGGCTTTGCCATGAAAATCAGGTGCTTCCTGACAAGTCTAGACCCAGAGGACCCCTTACCTAACTGCACTTCTTCTTTGCACAGAAACATTCAAACCAGGCGGGAACATTAAGAGAAAAAAAAAAAAACAGTGAGGACAGATGATTTTGTCCGCCCTGTGTCTGCCTTTGCATATGGAAGTGATATATTGAGGCTTGGGGTGTCTTCAGTGCAAGTGCCTGAGTCCCGTTGCTGCCTCTAATTTCATATAATTTCACATTTTGTCTTAAAAGGGGAGAAAAAATCTTCCCAAGTGAGTCGATGTCAAACTCAGGATCGTAAACAACTTGATTAAAGGAATTCTAGCCTGCTCTGCCTCCCTCCTGGATAAATGATTTGAGTGTGTGTCTGTGTGCAGGCAGCGCATGAAGTCTGTTTTTAGTTCTGCCACTTAAGTTTTGCTGCTGTTTGAGCGGGGACAAAACTTGATCATGTATGTGAACAAAGCATACACTCCCCCATACTCTCACGTGCTTCCTGAAACCCACACACACACTGGTCCCACAACTTTTAGAGACCTTTTTCCAAGACTTGAATGCACACTATGGGTACATACGATCACTTTATAAAGTAGGTCTGATTTATGTGACTGCTGCAGGAAGGGCTGGGTGCGCCCAAGTAATGTCAGCAATGCAGGGGTTCACAGAGGTGAATGGAAACAAAACGATGCTTTATTAAAACTTTTATATCCTGAATTTGAACTTGTTGATTTGTTGCTGTTTTGATCAAACACTAAAATTAACATATCATATCAATACTGCAAGATGCACAGAGTATGCTTTCTGAATGACTCTCAGCTACTACTCCCATATCTACATTTAATTAAAATTCAGTATTTATTGCTGACTTGTAATTTTTTTTTTTTTTTTTTTTTTTGGTTTTGAATGTCGCATGGTTGTCACGGCCATCTTGTATCATGATGATTTCAAATGTTAAATAGGTGTAGATGCATATCCCACAAATACTTTCTGTACATTTTGTTAAACTTTATCCAGTGGTTCATGGAATATTTTGGTAAGAGAAAAAAATACACACACACACATACACACACAGAAAAAAGCAATATTGGGCCACCTTTGCACTGCATGAGATAATTACACTTAATTTATAATTTAGAGACTGAGAAGATAAATTGGACAAGGCAGCAGATGTGGAAACTGCAGAACACTGTGGCAATGCAGTTTTCAACCTTATGAATAGCTACCTGCAAAAACAGAGAATCAGCACAATTTTACTGGGAAATGCCAGATATATTTACACAAAGAGAAAATGATTGTTGTGTTGGCTGACGATGTTGCCAGAATACCACACTTTGTAAAGACAGCTTTACAAATCATTGACAGCAGTAATTAACTACAGGTTTGTGTAATTGAATTTAGCTTCACCCCTTCTCACCTCCCGCTGCTGCTGGAAAGAATGAAGGAACGAGAGCTGCAAAGAGAGAATCCTCTCAAAGAAAGGTTACCCGGGCAGATTGGGCTGCAAGTATAACTATGTGCTTYAAAGGTGACAGGAGTGCTGAGCAGCCTGCTGCCAACTTTACGCTGAGCTGAATGATCCAAAGAAAGACAAATCAGCGTGTGTTTTGTTTGACATAAAAGAGAATTTTCACTGCTGGCAATGGCAAAGTTTAGATACACATAGGAATTGGAAAGGTTAATTGGAGACCGACTAACTTATTTAAAATGAGGTGGAATGAGAAATTGAAGCTTTCACAGAAATACGTACACTCAGACATGTCCAATAATTACAAATTTAAATAGCATGCAAAATATGTATGTGCATGTGAGTAAGTATGACAGCCAGGGTAGAGCACCTTGTGTTTCCACTTTAAATATTTAGACATTCCTACTAGATAAGCTCCTGAAGTGGGAAGTGCARGTACAGACGTTAGAGCGTTAGAACTGATCCTTTCATTCTTTGGCTGTGGAAGAGTGGTTAGGGGGGTTGTCCTGTAACCAGTAGATTGCCGGTTTGATCCCCCATTCCAGCTGTCTCAGTCATTGTTTCCTTGGGCAAGATACTTCCCACCTTGCCTACTTACTGATGGTGGTCAGAGGGTCCAGTGGCATCGAGTAAGGGGTCTCTGCAGTAGGTTTTGTCCTGTGAGTGGACACGTCCCTGCTCGTGATTGGAGGAGGTTTCGATGTGGGCAGAGATGGCCTGAGACYTGATTGGTCGGATTGACYGTGGGYTRTGAGGAGGKTYGAGGCAGCGGGGAGTAGCTTGATCGAGTCGGGCAGGAAGCAACATGTTTTTTAAGATTAATTTTAGTCATAACTTGAGAAAGGAAAATGCTAGCTGCATGAAATTTTAATATCATATATGTGAAAGGATGTGTAGCAATATGGCTTGGTTAAAACATCCCTAACCAGCCTGTAAAAAATATTGATTTTTAGCAATCTTTTTACAGGTTGGTTAGGGATATTTTAACTAAGCCACATTGTTACACATCCTTTCACATGTACGACGTTCAAATTMTGTGCAGCCAGCATTTTCCTTTCTTTCTCAAGTTATGACTAAAATTAATCAAAAAAAAAAGTTACTTCCTGCCCGACTCGACCAAGCTACTCCCCGCTGCCTCCAGCCTCATACCGCACCATCAATCCGACCAATTACATCTCTTGGGCAATCTCCGCCTACATCAAGACCTCCGCCAATCACAAGTTGGGCCATCTCCYCCCACATRAAGACCTCAGCCAATGACGATTTGGGTCGTCTTCGCCCACAGGACAACACGTTCTGCAGAAGAGACCCCTACTTGGTGACATCGGTGCAGCCCCGCCTCTGTCAGTGCGCCAGGGCAGCTGTGGCTACATTGTAGTTTGCCACCATCATTGAGTGAACGTGTGTGTGATTGGGTGAATGACTGAATTGTAAAGCGCTTTGGAAGCGCTTTGGAGTTCGTGTGGACTTGATAAGACACTATATAAGTTCAAGCCATTTAACATTTACCATTCTAACCCTCACACTCCCATTTAGATTTACTTTTCCCCTTTCTTCCTCTCAGAAGAGACCTAGGAAGATAGTAAAATAGGAGGACAGAGTGCTGTGTTTGTGTGCATCAAAGTGTGAATACTTTATCTTAAAAAATAAAGCAAGTGTTTAGGGAGTATGAAGTGTTTGAGTGGGAGAAAATATTCCAAGTGAAAGATTAAGAAGGATGAGTATGTACATATATGGACCCTACTAAGTACACGTTTAATGTGTGAACATATATCATACTTGTTTCATCACCACATCCCAGCAGGAATATTAGATGATGTGTTAAACAACCCCTGCACCTTTTAAGTGTTTTAAAAATTATAGCATTGCTTATTTAGAATAATGGAACAGTTAAAAATGTAAAACCCAAATATTTGATCAGAGGAGGAAATTATTATGATGGAAGGCAGAAGAAAACATAGAAGTTGAGGTTGAATGTTTAGTGTATTTCATTGACAGGCATGTCACAGTTTTGCTTTTATGTCTAATGCTAAAACATAGTTCATTTATTAAGCCAACTAATTTTTTTCAGTACAAAAATATAACAAAGTTATGAATGTATTATGTTTAATAATAGTTTTAGAACAGCTTTAAATATGTACAATTCTGATTCATTCTGCTTGTGAATAATGCAATGATTTTTGCATTAACAAAACCCAATAAGTTCTAATGTGTGAACATTCKTACCATGAGGATGCGTCGGTAACTGTCTCGATCGATGCCCCACAGTTTCAGATCAGTCTTGGCCTTGACAGTGGCAGCCCTTGGAGTCCCATAGATCAGAGCCAGTTCTCCAAAACTACCTCCTTCTCCAATGTTGGTCACCCACTCACCGTTCACATACACCTGTGGAGATACCATGAAAAAGTAGTAATGGACTGGTTCATAACATGAGCTCAAATGCTTTAAAACAATATCAATAGTAGCAGGGTGGACCCTCGTTATCTCTTCTCAGTTTCTATCTGATTTGTTATCAATGCTTCTTAAGTATTTTATCTGTGCTAAGCTTTCAAATGAAATCCTCAAAAATACCTAATATTCCCCTTAACTCTCCATCACTGCCTTTTGTTTCTTTTGCCTTGTGTTTTAGGAGTCGTCTCTTAGAAGTGAGTTAAGCTATTGAAGACATTGCGGGTGTGTTATTAAATCTAATAAACACAGACACACACAGTTGATCACTTGGAGAGAACCATTTAGGCCATAAATCTTAATATCCAAAAATTGTTTGCGGTTTTATACTTTAAAAGGACATCAAAATTCCTCATTAAAATAGCGTAAAAATACTGCATGATTTAGACCAAATATCAATGAGTTATCCTGATTAGGAAGACAAATCAAGGCATATCTCTGGAATATCAATCTTAAAAGACAAGAATCTCAAAATGTACTTCGGTCGTTTTGACCAAATTTGACTTCATSCTCAGTTTGATGTGATGGGTCACATATAGATAATACAACCTCGTTGTGGCTCATTGCGCCTGTGTCTGGGGCCGTTACGGTTTTAACTGTCAACACACCATGCACTATCTTGTTAACTTAATAACAGAGAGCAATGAGGGAGGGGAACAGAAGGAGGGAAGAAAAGATTATTCATCTGCTTGCTGTTGTGAATTGCCCACATTGTTGGAATCCATTATTCAGATTTAGAGTAAGTCACAGGGGACTCATCCTTCACTACAGACCAGAATGGCCTCAAAGGGATGCAGAGTCCTGACTTCGGTTACGTTAGAAGAACAATTATTTGAATGRTGTGAAAGTGTAACAACAGAACATGACACTGTCCTTTTTTTAGTTTCTAGTCCAGTTTTCAGATGGTCTTTGCTTAATTTTCCCTGTTGTACTTGCAAATTTCTAAGGGTTCACAAACACTTTCACTCAGCTCTTTGAATAATCTTTTTTATCCACAAATGGTCGTTTTGTAGCACCACTTCAGTTAAGGACTCAGACTAATGACTCTATAAAGAAAGACTAAAATAGATTAAGTCTTAAGCAGCGCATGATGTTTAGCAGCTGTCACTGAATTTTCTGTACATAAAAAATGAACAAGTTGTGTGTGTGGCTGGTAGCAGTTAAGAAGCAGTGATTTAAAAGCAATACAATGGAGATGAGGAGACAGTGTATTTGTGCTTGTGGTTACTCAGTTTGTTTCTCCAGGCATGCCTGTGGGCTGTTTAAATGTGTGAGATTGAGCGCGTGTAAATTCTAAACGTCTCGCCGCTCCAAATAAGAAAAACAAGACGACTATTATAAAATAATTACTTGTTAGAATAGAAGTGCTCAATTAACTTGGTTCTGTAATACAATAAAAAATGACTGAACTACATTAAATACAAACAGAAAAGGCTCTCAATGAGCACACTGTGCATTGTAAACTGAAGGTTTTAACTTCTTATAACGTGCACCCGTCTAAATACTGTCTTTGAGCGAATAGATGTATGTGCTGACATGGAGGGGTGTTTACATTAGTAGCAGCGTTCAGGCAGTTTATGGGARGCTGGCAGATTTACACCCCTGTTTAATGAGAGACATCTCCACACTCTAATAACCTCGGCACTGATCTTGAAGTAGTTTAGTGCCTGGGCTGTGCCTGGGAGGCAGCTGCTGTCTGTAGATGGTGGYGTGGCGGTAGAGTGGATGGCAGGGTGACATGAAGGAGACACAGAAGAGCATGAGGTTTGGCAACTGCTGAGCTTGAGGAAAGTCTTCCCACAAGTAGMGATCAGCGTAAGAAGGAAAAAGAAAAAAAAAAGAAAAAACTTGTGGGAACACATTCACTAGTGGCAGCTCTGAGCAGATCACATCTGATTTAACACATTGGAGGAATAATTAAGGCAAAGTAACGCAGCAGCTGTGAGACAGTACCACTGCAGCTGTTGAGCTAAACAGAAAGTTGAATATGAATAACCACATAAGAACAAGAGCTTAATTAAATTATATAAAGTTGTAATATGTTGAAACTGCAACCAAAAATAAGTAGAGAAATAAAACAGAGAAAAGATGTGGTATAAAAACAGAACATGGTTTGATTTTCTTTACTTGTATTTATTTATGTATTTATTTGTTTATTTATTTATGTATTTATTTATTTTTGGTCATATTTATAGGGTTTAAATAGTTCTCGTTGAGTAAGATAACTTGCCATAGAAGTAATGGAATTTCTAGAGACTAAATTTCTTATCTTCTATTTAAATAAACTGCAGGCTTGAAGGGTAAAAAACACTAAATCTCCTGTTCTGGAAAATCTCGACCTACTTCTATTATGATTATAGTTCTGATCACTTATCTYTTCACATCAACAAGACACTATCTGAAACAATGTGAGTCAAAGCATCAAGATTCAAAGTTGTTCTGCAATTTTCCTATCAAGGCACCATCTCATTATCTCAGCTTCCCTCTTTCAGATTAGAGTGAGGCAATGAAATAGCTAGTCTTAGCAAAGCTTGCCAATCTTCTCTCAGCCACGTTTTCTGTGCTCACAACGGAAAGTTGATAAGGTCACTTCCTGTTTAACTTTCCATCAGCTCCCGTTTTATCTCTCCACTTAAGTCTATCACTTGGTGTCAGGCTTGCTAAGACAATAGATCGTCTCAGTGTGGATGCCTTCACAGAGCGCTCGCCTCTAAAGCGCCATGTTCAGATTGTCATCTAGCTGGAACCATACTCTCAAAATGCCAAAACATGGGGGTGATTGTACAACCAGTCAGTCTTATTTGTGAGAGAGCAAAATTGTCTCAACATGACTGGAAAAGAAAGGGTTTTTGATAAAGTCACTATCCTTCCTATATAGGCTTTATATAAACTACCTTTTAAACAAGTGAATAAAAGCTTATACTGCTAATCTGTGTTTGGAAATGCTCATTCAGTTAATTAATAAGTTTGTYTAACCTTAAAAGTCTAACTTGATTCTTTCTAAGAAGTTTGTTTAAGGCATTAGGACATGACAAAAAAAATATTGTGCATATGATTTTGTGCCAGCCACTTACGTCCACTTCACCTTGGTCTATCACATAGAAGTTGTCTCCTTCATCACCTGAATAGGAAAGAGAAGCAAAAACATGGAGCAAAGAAAGCAGCAAAACTGTAATTTAAACTAAATGGAATTGTAGCTTTTTCCATTGTTGCTGTTAGAAACCATCTCCTGCCAGCTGAAGATACCAATAAATTCTTTCTGATTAAATATTAATTAGAAATAGATAAGAATAAGTGAAACAGGAACATATGCCAGACAACACCTAGGCTGGAGTAATTCACAGCTCAATAAATTAAAACTCTAAGTTGTACATGATACAAGATAAAATGCCAAATGTAAAGGCAGACCACTGTGCTCTCAATGCTTCCTACAAAACATAAACTCAAAAACCACAATGAWCTAAGCATTCAGCTTTCAAATTTATGACTGTGACATTCTTATTACGTCTTTAAATATAAACAGATTAAAGAACACATCTTTTTCGAGGAGTCTTGATAAATGTAGACCTTAGGGTACACCCAGTAACAAAAGTACCACCACCTTCATCAGAATCTTGTTGGGGTTTCCAGTAACTTCAAAAAAGGGCTCTCCTTTACCGAAAGTTGCAGCAACCACAGCATCCATTACTGGGATTTATTTGGTTTAATAGTGGAAACTCTGAAACAGAAATGGCTCTAAATGCAGAGCTTATTCTGTTTTCTCAGGAAACCAGAATAAACTATAACAGTGCTTAAAAACAGGTGCTTTAGTTAAGTGTGTTTTTCACAATATAGAAAACTCTGCTTTATTTGCAAGGTTTAGAACTCATGTCCAATCTGCTTACTAAATCAGCAATGTCACACATGTGCTGAGCTTTCAAAGTAAAGCCTCAAAGCTTTTCGTGGCTGACTGATACCCTTTAAAAGCATCTAGTTTGAAGAAAAGACTAAAAAATGGTGTCGGCGCCTTTAATTATGCTATCTATTACATGGAGTTCAGGGAAATGCAAAYAACTGCCAACCACATGCATGAGCACTACAAAGCTCTCATTGGCACTACATTTTTTATTGAAACAGAAATTTGACTACATTTAGAGGAACAAGTGTCAAAGCTTCTCGTAGGTATTAAGTTATAGGTTAGTGTCACTTTGTGGATATTTTTGTTGTTTGTATGTTTACCCMATGAGTTGAAAAGGCTGAGAGTGTCCTTTGAATAAAGTTCASAGGAGTTCACACGCCTAATTAATACTGAGTGGAGGGCTCGTTAATCATACAGCTCTATTTGTCACACAAACCACCCCTTGTCTGTCTAAAGGTCTGTCCCAGGAAAGACCTTAGAAGCCCATACACAAATATTCTTCCAACCTGCTACAACCTGGCCCTTTACTAATTTTTCTTCTCTCTCTCTCTTTCATCTCATGTATCGCTCGTTTAGTTTCCTCTCGCTGTGACTCTTTTCTTGCACTCTTCCTGTCTTTTATCACTCTGGTGCCTAGGCTTTTGTGTTGCGTCTTTAGCTTGAGAGTGCAAGCAAATATTTAACCAAAACCTACACACACACATGCAAAGACACACGCACATACTCATGTTAGCTGGCGTTCTCCGTGTGGTCTTGTTTCAACACAAGGTAATTGTCATACACAAGTTCTGTGGCTTTGCTCAGAAGTACAAAAACAGGTTATATCCTCAACCTCCAAGGTGCTTTCACTTACTGCTCCACAGGAGACCTCTGCAAAACTGACAGCATAGTTAATTGAGATGATGCAATTACCAGTGGAAAATAATAAAATGGACTCTCTTTTTTGCATGCCATGTTATGTAAATGTCTTCACTGTTTAAATACCGCTCACTTTTTACAGTAATAACTCCTTGCCATGTCTAAATAGTATGTAGGTAGTCAGTAGCAGGTTTCTTGAAGCTGTACAGCAGTCCAAACATTAGCTATGACATCAGCGCTGTGTATACCACACTAGTGTATATAACAATGGCCAGTCTGGGTCTGGGGGCCCTGCAAAGAAAGCTAGACTTATTATCACCAAATTAGGACTGATATACTCCTGAATGCTGTTTTTAAGAGTAAGTGGGAGCAACTAAGGGTAGTACAGACAGTTTTCCTTTACCTTGTGTCAGCCTGTGCGTGTTTGTACAGTGCACTCCACAGCTGTAAAACTGTGATTCTGTGAAGGTGATAACATAATACTATCTGAAAGTGGAAATTTGTCAGTTTTCAGTATTGCAAATATGCGATTAAATGTGTATTTGATAGACATTTCAGATGGGGGAGGATTAGAAAAATATAAACTCGTCCTGTTGGCCTGGTTTTCTTTTACATCCAGGGATAACTAGGGTGAAGGTTTTGATGCTTGTCAGACAAAGTGGAGGATCCTGACAACTGGTGCAAGATGGGGAAATGAGAGGAAAAGTGGGCGATAGAATAAAATAAACATGGTCAGRGATGGCAGTGCAAAAGATGAACTCATTGAGATAAAACTGTTGCAGATAATCAGCGAGAATGAATTCTTGAGTGCTTCTTTTCTGTTAAAAAAGTTTAGTGGTTCAAGTTCATTCTAAAACAGTCACTCATATCAAAGAGCTGGCGATTTTTTTCCCCTTAGAAAAAAAATCTTCATATCATATCCATCATATCAAAATATAGGTGAAACTAGGTCCTAATTTATTGCTGCAACTGTTTTGAGTGTCAGTATCCTTTAATTTGTTTAATATGTCACATAAGGCTGACTATTCACACAAACATTACTCTAATGATATTTTATACTAACCTTGCTGGATAACTGTTTCTCCTGCGATGTGGGTGACTGGGAACATGGCATCAAATATGTCACTGGAGAAGAGATAGAGGTAAAGAGAAAAAGGAGGTTGGGAAGAGAGGAGAAAAGGGTTGACACAATTAAAACTCCCATGTTTGTTTTAACACCGAACACCCATTTTCTGATTTGTCAGCTGTGATCTAATTCAAAACCGTCCTAATATACTTACTGTGGTGACATGTGTCATTATCAAAAAGAAAACTAAGTGGCTGCATGGACTAAAGAGAGCACCCAACCTCAAGAAAAGAACAAATGTTTGTACATTACTATCTGAATACAGCCGTGTGCAAACTCTGCCCACAGTTTAAAAAAGCGTAAAAAAATTTTTTTTTAAAAAAACACACATGAACACACAAGAACACTTTGGTTGAGTTCATAATCAGGCTTTACTTGTGAATGCCTCGTTTCAGTCTGTGATCAAAGCTTGTACCTCTGAGGGCATCTTCCTAAAGGCCCTGAAAAAACAAACAAAATGACAGCTGTACCTAAGCACCTAATTTCTGTTTTAGCCAGGCAGGGAAAGCGCCAGTTAGACTGTTGCTAATCGAGCTGATTAAATGCATAAAGCCTCAGAGGATTAGAGTTCCACTACTGGAATGTGTTGGGACACGAGACATATCCAGTCTCCCCTCCTCAGCCTGTCTCTCACCTTCAGGGTGTATTATTCCACCTAATCAGTTGTATACCACTTATCTTGTAAAAAAAATATAGAGAAAACAATAAAAGAGGGTCAGGCATATCAAAGGCATACAAGAACTATTAAGTAAATTCAGGARAAGTCTGAGCTCGCTATCTGTTGTGCTTTGTTTGAGAACGTGTTGAACTGAATGTCTGCACCCGAGAACATATAGCCTACAAAACCACACAGGTTTGTTCAAAATTAAGGGGAATAAATGTTTGCTCCTGGAAGTGCTCTRGACTTCCCATCAGCAAGTAATTAAAATACAAACTTGTCAAACAGTTCACATAAAAAGTGGACCCAAAACAGAGAAAAAAAACTGCAGGTGAACAGATGTTGTGCCGAGATCTGAGGATGTTATTAAGCAGTTTGGAAGTGAATGGACCCTGCTGGTATTTATTTATGTGACATTAAATAGGAAACAGACTTAAGAAAATGGATTAAAGCCAACTCCACGCACAGGTAGGTCTCTTGCACTGCAGCTGGCCACTGACTCACACATGCTCAAGGACATGCATACTTGTACAAAAAAAGCACTTATTCTTTGAAGTGCACAAAATAAAAGATGCTCATCCTTCAAACAACACATGACGAAACCTCTACATGCAGCGGTGCATGTCGACATTTTAATACATGTTTRGTGTCAGTGACAACATATTTGTACATAAGTCATCCAAGATGGCATGATGATGTGACACATAAGCTCAAACATTTTGAGGGTAATTAGRCAAATCTGCAGGAGTAACATAAAACCCCCATCAAATCTCAAATCGCCTGGACTTGGTTTGATTCTGGCTGTTTAGAGAGCTTTCAAGTATTTGGTTTCAGATCATCAGCTAAGGAAGTGTGATTCATAAAAAACTGTATTTGAACTATTTGAYCAATACAGCAAGTTAAAATGTGTACACTAGTTTGCATTTATTGAAATAACTTGATGAGAAACTACAGTAAAATACAAGTTAGAATCTTTTTAGTTTGTTCCCTTTAAGTCACTGTCCCACCTAATCCTCCCATCTTTTGGTCTATTGGCCCCTCTCTGCAAGTCCAAGATGAAGTGATTAATCTTGTCCTTTCCTCTACCTGTAGAACCTCACCTCCCCCCAATGACCTTATGAAAAGGCAGAGCAGCACCACAGACAATAGATGTGCTGTTCTGACTGACAAATAGAAGGACAYAGAGCCAAAGAGTTTGCAAAGAGAATGGAAGGAGTAGGAAGTTCGTCTTCATCCTTGGCTGAGGGACAAAGCTTCTGTCATGGTTGAAATATATGGAGCACTAGAGACACTTTGCAACAACGCATATGCATGCACCTTAAAGACACACATACACACACACACAGAGAGGCACACAATCTTACAGTGTACAGGGGTTAGACAATGAAACTGAAACACCTGGTTTTAGACCATAACATCCCTTTCAGACAGCTTCCTCTTGCGTCCACAGTTAATCCTGTTGGATGTGGTTCATCCTTCTTGGTGGTATGCTCACATTACCCTGGATACCGTGGCTCTTGATACATCACAAAGACTTGCTGTCTTGGTCACAGATGCACCAGCAAGACGTGCACCAACAATTTGTCCTCTTTTGAACTCTGGTATGTCACCCATAATGTTGTGTGCATTGCAATATTTTGAGCAAAACTGTGCTCTTAACCTGATAATTGAACCTTCACACTCTGCTCTTACTGGTGCAATGTGCAGTTAATGAAGACTGACCACCAGGCTGGTCAAATTTAGCCATGAAACTTCCCACACTAAAATGACAGGTGTTTCAGTTTCATTGTCTAACCCCTGTATATAAATTGTATAAACGAGTTTACGTAAAAAAAAACGACATTATACTGTTGTGCTCCATGAGTTTTTTTMGTCTAAAGTGTAAAATCACACTAAAATCTCATGTTGCAATTATATTAATGCATGTATGCATGTAACTCTGAGAAATTAACAGGCAAAGATTATGTGCTTGAGTCCATCTTGTATATACGCTCACAGCATTTCAGCAAATATATATATATATTTGCTTTGAAAGACTCAAAGACAATGTTTAATTTGGAAGACTTCAGTCAATAACAAACTCAAATCAGGCCTGTTTGTTGTGACTGCATTGCCTGTCGTTCCTTCAGGTTGGCAGAGACTGCCTCCCTCTGTCATTCACCTCTTCCCTCCTTCTTAATCGCTCTCCCTGCTCAGCTGTTTATTTGCTCAGCGGCAAAAACTTTTCCATTACAACATTAAGGCACAGCACTGCCGTTACTCCATTAGCACTGAAGGACTCCTTAACACCCCAGTGTTCCACTATGCCTTTGTGTTTGTCAATGGGCTGCAGAATGTTGACTTAACACAACACCTTAAKGGTTAGTTGATATAAAATGCTCACTGTGTGAGAAGAAGTGGTTTTGTAATATGCTGAACAGTCAACAACTGTGCTGTGTATGGGAACTTCTCTGTTCTCCAAGTTGTGTCTCAACTTGGCAGCAATGTGCCACTGGTTTGGCTGGCAAAGTGTTTATGCCAAAAGGGCTTAAAGGATTAATTTTCACCGTCACTATTCATTATAATTCAGGGTGCTGATTCCAGTGAATCAGAACAATGGACTTTTTTTAGGCTTTGTTTGACCAGACTAAAAAAGATAAAAGTGATAAACCTGAGACGTGCAAGTTTCATAAACAAGATGATCTAATATAGTGCACCTGTGAAAAATAAGGTTTCCCTTACTTACATGATCATTTTTTTCAGAATTTCCTGTCAATGTAAGAATGAGTAAACTGTGAAAAAGAAATGTCACCAGTGTGTTTCCAGGAAGGCTGGTATTCCAACCACCTTAGAAACCTGGGAATGTTAAATAGAACCTACATAGCATACTTACTGCAGTTTACCTAAAATTAACAGCTTCTATAATACTCTCCACATTCTTAATAACCTTAAGTGGCAGGTTGCTATGAATAATACAACACGTTTTGTTTGCCTCTTGTGATTAGTCAGCATAGCATTTAAAGCTTAAGTTAATTCAGAAATATGAGCATGCAAACATAAATTACACTTTCACKAGTTAAAAAAGGCAGTGTGGTCTGTGATGGTAAGCTGGAAAACAGCTTTATGAGGCTGACTAAGTGCTGCCGTTTCATGTGTAGTGTTTAAAGTTGTGCACAACAAGCTAAAGTCACATGGAACAACCAACTCACCCCACTGAGCTGTTTGASTAGGTGCAGTGCAATAATATTCATTTTCAAATTACATTTTCAATTACATAACCATTCAAGCAAGCACATGTACCAATGTACTCGAACGCAGACAGATACACACCACCGATAACAGAATGACTAAGAGACAGACAAAAGAGGGAGGTGAGGGAGGGATAATTARAAAGCGCTGAAGCATTCATGGAGAATATTTACGACATAAAAGGTCCTGGCACATGTTCTTATTTACTCTGGAACCCAAGCAAAGAAAAACTTAAACAAATAAATGTTCAATTACATTATGAACGCTACTGCTTATTGCTTCATACTGATCTTACGACTGAAGCCAGTCCCATTTAAATGAAAAAAGAGACACATCCTTCTTCTTACAGCGAGTCATTCTCCTCTAACTTACTCTGTCCTCTGCATCTTCTCTTTTCTAACTACCTTCATGTCCTCTCTAACTGCATCCATATACCTACTCTTCGGCCATCCTCTTTGTCCTTTTCCTGGCATTTACATCTCTAACATCCTTCTACCAATATCCGACATGTCCAAACCATCTCAGTCTGGTCTCTGTGATTTTATCTCACAGTCATTCTACAAGTGTTGTACTGCTGATGATCTCATTCCTAATCTTATCCATCATTGTCATTCTCAATGAGAACCATAAAAGCTTCAGATCTGCCATGTCCAGTTCTGTCTTTTTGTCAACGCCACTGTCTCCAAACCATACAACACAGCTTGTCTCACTATTCTCTTGTAAGCCTTTGTCTTTTGCTGACTCCCTTTTGTCACAAATCYCTCCTGAAACCTTTCTCCATTTATTCCATCCTGCCTGGACTCTCTTCTTCATCTCTATACAAGACTCCTCATTTTCCTGGACAGTCGACCCGAAGTACTTGAAGTCCTGCACCTTTGTGACTTCTGCTCACAAAGAAATTCACAAATAAAATAAGTAAAATCAATCCTAATACAACTACAGGATCATTTTGACAGATGCCAGATAAATATACAGTAGTAGATGACAGTAGTTTATTTTTTAATGTTAAGGCAAAAAGTTGAATATTGAAAGTCAACCTCTTGGTAATTGGAGGTTCATACTCTATTGTGTCTAGAGAGATCATTTGGTAATGACCTGTTTCTGGTACACTAG